AAAAAATTGAACAAAGTTTGATGGGCCACGTATTGCTTGATCCAGAGGTTCGCGGTAGTATTTTCTTGGTTTATATATGAGTTTTCACGTTATCAATTGAATATATATTACACTGTTCCATTCTAATTTAATGTACTCACCAGCTCCTCCCCTGTAGTATATCGCCGTGTATTTGTTATTTATGGCGTGGCACTGAGCTACTCTGAAGTCCATGGCACCTGAGGGGCATGCCACCTGTAGGAGAGTCGTATCAAGCAACTAGCTCTCTACGGTGATTTTAAATATGTGAAGGGTATGGCCAGCTAGTCCGGGCTGTATGGCATGGAATTCCTCTGCCCATAAACAGTGCAGGGATAGGAACCAGCATAGGTAAGCCACCGATAACATGCTACCACGTAGCTCCTGGGGTGCCTGTGCCACCCCCTCCCCTTTGCCCTGTATATATCTCTTTTAAGTAAAACGCGGCATCAAAGTCAACATAAAAATCTGGCGAGTACCTCAGTTTGACATAGTGTGACCGCCCCCTTTTCAAAAACCTGGCTACGCCCCGGATATAACTAGCTGAGGAGAGCTGCTATGCTCAGTAGACGCTACAGAACCCGAAGGTAAGTTCCCATCACCCAATATGTTTGACCACATCGTCAAATTATATAAACTTTGAGTTCACAAAAGGTTTCGTTACCTTTCTTTTGCAGACTTTTGGGTATCCTCGACTCTCCCCTATGCAGTTTTTTCCTCCATTTTTAGGACTTTTTTAACAAGAAATACAGACAAGTCAATAATTTTTGTTGAAAGAAGGCGTGGTCCGGCGCTGCATGTTATGCAACTCGTGTAAGGGTATAAAGAATTGGTTATTTTTCAAATACTTCAGGTGGAAAAAGACATAAACAGAAAGAAATTTTAAGCATTGTGCTACACAATAGCTGCCAGATGAAAAGAATAGCCGAAAACACAACGAAATTTTAAGAATTATCTTACTTAGAAAATAGCTGGTAGTTGATATGCATGTATTCCACTCTATATCAAAAAGACATATCTACGTATATCATACGCTTTTTGGATGTGTACCTCCGAATTATAACTAAGAGTGGCTTTAAACACTCTATTTTATTTCGGTGTAAGGGGGGGAGGGGCAAATTTGAGAGTAGGGGAAGGAATGGACTATTTTACTGACTTAGTTTTTTTTCTCATTTTTAACAGAAACGGAGATCCGTTGAATTAGGTAGTTGCTAACAAAGGGGCGATTTTCGCTGCTTTCAAACCTTTCTGCTTAAAGAGTTCTGATTGGTATGGTACACTTGTCTTTTCTTGATTCAACCAGAATTAAAGAAACTCGAGACTTACCGTGGATTTGAACACGTTCGTCGTCTGAAGTACACTCCTCCTCCACATGTGCGGGAACAAGTGGAAGAATCATAACCACTCCATGCACTCCAACCACCATCTACAACTTCTGAGCCATCATAAACACATTCACCAGCTATACACCACTAAGAAAAGTAAAGGAAACGTTTGTGGATCAAACTTACCAGGGTAGAGTTAACAATATTCATAAATTACAGCTTGGAGAATGAACAAATAAATCACGTTATTATCCAACTATACTCCGTAGAGTACAAATAACGCCATAGACGAGTACAAATATCACGCGGTATTTGTACTCCAGAGAACCGGTTAGACAGGTTTTCTCGCACGCGCAAGCGAAGAATTTAATCATAGGGAAAAAACATGGCGGGCAATTTGAATCGTATATCTAACGACGAAGAGTCGGAATGGCTGGCAGATATAGATCCAAGTTTATTAGATGAATCATGACAGGACGGAAAATGCCTGCACTGTAACTACCTCCTGTTGTCCCACACTAAGCCTAAGAAAAGTTTTCTAAGGCTTTGTATGGGACAACGAGAGGTACTTACAGTGCACGCGTTTTCCGTCCTGTCACGGAACGAAGAAAAACAGCTAGACGATCAGGAAATTTCTTCATTTATAAAAGAAAATAGAAACAGCAACACGACAACACGCCAATTCCATTCCGCTTCGCATACTTCTGTTACGCCCTTCCCGCGTTAAATATCCGCGAAATTCGCCCGCACTGAAGTAACAATTTGGCGTGTTGGATAATAAATAACTTATTAGACGTTTTGTTGTGTAGTATCGATGAGTATTTTTATTCGTTATTTGTATTTTGACTCGCCCTACGAGCTCGTCAAAATACGGCACAACTCGTAAAAATACT